TGGTGGCCGCTATGCTGCATCTCTCTCGGACCCATGCAGAATATTTGTTAAGAGCGCGTTTGATTAACAACTAAGAAACAAAGGTTTATGGTAACAATACCCCTAAAATGTAATGGGATTTTGCTAATAGATGTTTGCTGAATATTTAGCAGCTTAGAAGCATCAAAAGCTTTAAATCGATTATATTTCGGTACATATCAACTATATAAGAACTAGTAGCAGTACCTTTTCTGTTTAGAATAAATGAAAAAATCTTGAAACGCCTTGACCAGAGTCATTTTTGGAATTTTGGAATTTGCTTGAAAAATTGTCGTTCGTCGCAATTTTGAGTCTGGCAACGTACCGGTACGTTAAAAGGGTGAGGGCTCCTTTGAATGAGAATTTCCAAATAAAATAAAACTGAATTAGATTCCGAGCATTTAAGCTAGATGTCAATTTTCATCGGTATACGCTATCCTGTCTTTACCCTGTTAGGATAACATGCATGCTCCTAAGGCCCCAGGTTGATGGTAGTCAAAAAATCAAACTATTCCAAAAAAGTGTTCCAGCCCTATCACTTTCTGAATGTTGCGTAATGATAATTATATTTTATTATGGCTCTGGAATAGGTGAATTGAAGGTAAAACGTCAAATTAAGCCTATTATGTTATTGGAAATTGGCCAAGTTCAATCAAGAGCAGCCGCATTTACTTTACTTGTTTTCACAGAAAACAATATAATTTTGCAATTTCTATCTATTGATGTTCTATTTTGCTATTTAGCGAAGTAGTAACTTGATTGTGCGATATACGGGGTGTCCCGAAAAAAGTGTGCAATATTCTACCAGCGGTTTCTAGAGCTTAAAATAGGAAGAAAAGCTTATATAAACATAGGTCGACAAACGTCCCCTAAGGGCGCTACGGTCTTTTAAAGGGGCTCCCCTGAAGATGGTTTTTCCTTAAAATTTCCGAAACGTGTTGAGATAAAGACATACAATTTGGTATTCTAGCCTAGTTTTTTATGCTGGATTTAAAAATATTAACAATTTTAGACAGTTTTGTTTGGAAGCGTATGTAACAGGGACGGACTCAGGTTATTTGAACCCCAAAATTTTTGTGTGATTCTGTTTTTGAAATTCAATTTTAGAAATTGAAAATTTAGGGTTTTCTACATAAAAAAGGTACTCTCATTGAATATCGATAAATTGATTAAAATCAAACTAAAAAATTTGTCACATGATAGGAAATGTACTAGGAATTTAAATGAATTGTTGATTATACATAGTTAGCCATGACTGCAAACAAAAGTTGTTTTGATTTGTTATGACTTATTTTGACGTTAAGCTGACATTGTTAGCAGTGTAAGATTACTAGATTAAAATCAAAACTGACATGCATTTTGTGTACGGGATTTGCCAATCGCATAGTACCTGGACGTCGAATGTTTACTGATATTCACCGGAATTTGTCAAACTATGGAAGTTTTCAGCGCATGCAGGGCTCAGATAGGCCACTGGGAAATCATCGTATGGATATTGCTTTAAATATGTTTGAAAATAATCCGCAAATAAGCATACGAAATGTTTCAGAAAATATGGATATACCTCGATAAATAGTAAGAAAAATTTATGAATACCTATTTGATAGTTATAATAAAAATAATAATTTTATATAGGAAGAATGACAAGAATGCAAGGATCCTTATCATTTTAAACGGGTGCAGCATTTAACGGAGGCAGATTTTTTACCATGAATGGAGTTTTGCCAGTGGATATCAGAAAATGAAAACACTATTCCGAGAATATTATGGTCGGATGAGTCAATATTTACTAGGAATGGTGCTTTTAATTTCCATAACATGGATCACTGGTCAGATGAAAATCCAAAAGTTGTTCGCCGTACAAATTTCTATCGTAGATTTTCATTGACCTTATGGGCAGGAGTAATTGGGGATCAAGTAATTGGGCCTATTGTACTTCCCAATCGTCTTAATTCAGAGGTGTATCTGAACTTTCTTCAGAATGAGCTCATGGATATGATACCATTGGATGTGCACCAGCAGTTTCAAGAAAATATGTTTTTTTAACATTATGGAGCCCCTGCACATTTTGGACGCAATGTTCGAATTTTTTTGAGTCAATTTTCCAGACAAGTGATTAGGCCGAGGAGGTCCTATAGCGTGGCCGCCACGCTCACCTGACCTAAATCCATTGATTTTCTATTTTTGGGGGTCATTAAAAGACCTAGTTTACTCGACTGAAGTAAATACTCAAGAGGATTTACTTCAAAGAAACCATCAGGCTGCAAATGAAATAAGAAGAAAAAGGTTTTCCACTTTTCGGGCTAGGCAATCATTAGTTCGTCGAGCGAGACTCTGTATCCAACAAAATGGGAATTTATTTGAACACTTATTATAAAGCTAGTTTTAAGTATGTCTTCTTTTTTAAACAAATTTCAATTTCGTTCGTAGAAAAAATTTATTTCTTTTGTGTTTGCCTAAATGTTAGCTATGTTGCAATAGAAATATGTATTTATGTAATATTTACCAATTATCAAACTAGTTTTTTCGTTGTCAGTACATTTCCTATCATGTGACAAATTTTTTAGTTTGATTTTATTCCAAAATGGCATAATTTATGGATATTCAATACGAGTACCTCTTTAATGTAGAAAACCCTAGATTTTCAAATTATAAAATTGAATTTCAAAAATAGAATCACACAAAAATTTTGGGGCTCAAATAATCTGAGTCCGTTCCTGTTACATACGCTTCCAAACAAAACTGTCTAAAATTGTTAATATTTTTAAATCCAGCATAAAAAACTAGGCTAGAGTACCAAATTTTATGTCTTTATCTGAACACATTTCGGAAATATTAAGGAACAACCATCTTCAGGGGCGCCCCTTTGAAAGACCGTAGCGCCCTTAGGGGACGTTTGTCGACCTATATTTATATAAGCTTTTCTTCCTATTTTAAGCTCTAGAAACCGCTGGTTGAAAATTACACACTTTTTTCCGGACACCCTGTATATGAAAACCTACTCCGGCTACATAATGTTTGACATGCGAGTTACGAAGTTTCCTTTCGGAATCCGTTTTTAAAAAATGTGATTTTATATAATGCTGCCATGCAAAACTTGAAGAAGCGGCAGCGGTATCCATAAAAAGCAACAAAAGATAGTGATTGTAATAAAGAAGTGATAAGAGACAAATAGGGCACACCACTAATATATCGAACAAACGTCAATATTGATGAAACTATCTTCCCAAAGTAGATACGGGGTTTATTCAGATAATTTATTCATTGAATAGTAATGAGTCTGTTGAATTGAATCTCTAACTGGGGAGCTTAATTGTGCGTTCCCAAAACATGAAGCAATTATACAATTTTTTTTTTTCAGGTAAAAGAGGGATAGTTACCTTGTATCTTTCAGTTCTCTGGCTTACATTAGCCATAGTCATAAAAAAATAAATAAAATGGGACAATTTTCTACTTTTACAGTTATGATAACGATAACGTACTGGAAAAACAAAAACATAAACGTACCTATTATTAGTAATCTTCGAATATATGCAATATGTGTTAAGCTTATGCATCCAGTTATGTCACCATATTGGTTCTCCAAAATAATAAGGTTTAACTAATTAATATCAATAGAAGTTTACTGAAGCTTACTACTAACTGCCAAATAATGTTATGACCGTATAAGAGAGTAATAAGGAATTATAGTGAAAACAAAAAAATTAAAATTCATCCAAAAGCATTTGAAATGTATCTTTCAAGTGTTTTGCAGATGTGTGTCAGATCCATGTTATGAAAATTTCTCAATCTGTCGACCTGTATACCTTTCGATAGATAGTGGATAGTAGAAAATGTCCATGCATTTTGAGCAAACTTGGCAACTAGGAAAGAGTATATAATTTTTCAAATCTTCAAAATTTTCATAGATTTTCAGATTTACGATCAGATTTTAGATGCACTCAAAATATTTATTTGGAAGCGTAGGAAAAATACCTTGGGCGTTTTCAAATTATGAAAGTCAAAGAGTCAAAAGATCAAAGAATTATACTAATATCTATAGAAAATTTCGATTAACATTCGCCGGTAGTGACAAGACTATTCAATTGAATAATTTATTGTTTATACTTTAGGGCGTGTTCATTAGTACAGTTGATTTACATAAACATGCTAATATGAACTTACAGGATGGGTCATCTAGCGCTTGGAGCTTAAGTTAGTAGTTGGGTTGACATCGAAAGCTATAATCTTATGTATGAGATACCTATCAGAAAATTAGTTTTACGTTTGACATTTAGGAAATGAGACCATTTGATGCGTTATCGGTACTCCCAGTTGCCTAAAAATCGCTTTGCCCGGCGTTTTTAGCGAAAAAAAACATCTCGTAAAAAGTTCATTTTCACCACGAAGGCTATAGAATGAGCAAGATTGACACATTTAAGGATCAGAAAACACACGTTGTCGAAACGTAACTATTTGGATCTCATCTGATCCGGCGACATCGTTGAGCCACTTTTATTCAAAAATAAGCAGAAAGCTGCCGTTTTAGTCAATGAAGAGTGAAACCGTATTATGCTCAATGATTTTTTGTATTTAAAATTGTGAATAGCATGGCGCAACTTGCCATAACACCACAATTGAACTTTTGGCCAACCTTTTCGAAAACAGAAAAAATAGCCAGATTTGAACCCCTTGGACAATGTTTTTTGGGGAGCTCTTAATCCTAAGTGCCTTGCTAACCATCTAGAGACGATTGATAACTTAAAACATGAAATAGAAATTGCCATGCAAGAAGTTAGAACCGAAAAGGTACTTCAAAAGCGGTTCAATCAGATGAAGTCATTTTAATGATATTATGATCCCCTCTTAAATCTCAAGATTCAGTTTCTCCAATAAAAACGACAATTTGAGAAAATTTTCGTTTATCCCTTTTTTACAACCGGCTCAAATTCCAAATGTTAAATTTAATATTAGTGAACACAAAACCTTACAAAGCAACTCACCTTTGAATCCTTTTGTGATTGTTGATATCAGGCGGCAGGATAAATCCGCGATAGTTCCGTAGCACAGTATAAACAGAAACTGACAACCGCCCGTCGCGACGCACAGACGACGCAAAGATCCACCGCGGACGTATGACGACGGGACGCGGGAGGGAGCAAAAAGTACTTACAATCGTTTCCGAATTATTATGATGGCTATAAAAGATATCTTACATTATAACTGAAAAATGTCTGAAATGATTACAATGATGATTAATGAGCTCATTTTGTAAATGTATACATGATCAAAGAAACTGCAATGAATGCCAGATAGAAGGCTCATTCTGACAGTTTTAGATATATTGAGAGTACTAGCCTCAGCCACTCGCGTGAAAATAGTGCAAAGTATAAGTCATTCGTTTTGATATAGTGTGGAGGAGATTAGAAATAAATGCAATACTCAAACTAACGCAATACTTTGGCTGAGGACATGTCCAAATCAAAATATCCTAACCCAATAACTATTTATTCACAGTATTATACTCAAGTAAAGCAAAACACAAAATAAATCCAAATCAACACAATCACGCTAAGAAAACGAATGTGGGAATTTTTTTTTTTTTTTTGTTGAGGGGGGAATGCGTTTACGCACCATACCATAGCCCGAGCTACGGCGTGTGTGGGACTCCAGGTTGTCTTGAGGAGACCCCCTAATACCCACTAAACCCTAACCTCCGCGTGGCCCGACTCATCAGCGTCTCGGTAGGCCATGTGTTGTGCATGACCTGCGGTCTGCTACAACGTCTCCTCATGTGTTTCAGTCTCTGGGAACGCCGGGTTGGTTCCTTTTACCTCGCACATTCTATCGATGTCGTTAAGCGATCTTCGATAGAGGGTCTGCTGGGTTCTCTTGAAACTCTTGTTTTCGAAAAATCAAGAGTTTCAAGTCCTCTTACCTATATATTGTTCCTGGTCCTGGTCCTGAAGGGTCCTGATCCTGGTGGGTCCTGGTCGTGGCGGGTCCTGGTCCTGGTTGGTCCTGGTCCCGGTGGTTCCTGGTCCTCTGCATCCACGCCGTGGGGGGGGGGGGAACCGCGGGTTCTCCTAGTCTCCTAGTCAAGGTTCTAGTTAGCGGGTGCCAACTGGGACCTTGGTCTAGGGTACCTAGTTCTGCGGTTGCGAGGCCTCTCGTCCGGATCGTAGTCCATGAGGAATCGTAGCTGCTCGTTCGGGTGGTCCTGAGCTTTCTGGAAGATCTTCTCCGCTTTTTTCCTCATGTACTCGTGAATGGTGTCCCAATGCAGGTCTCTACGCAAGGTTGAGTTTCTTACGTAGGATGGTGCACTGGTGGCGATCCGGAGTAGCTTCATCTCTAGAGCAGCAAGTCGCTTGCGGTAGCTGGGGGCAGCGTACCACGAGACCGCGGAGGCGTAAGCGAGCTGAGGTCTGGCGATGGCCTTGATCAGCCGTAGCTTGGTCGCTAGCGGCATCCGGCTGTGTCTACCCAGTAATGGGTAGAGTTGAGCCATGGCTGCTCTGGTCTTTGCGATGACAGCTTCTATGTGGGCTTTCCAGGTGAGGGACTTGTCAAATACGATCCCCAGATATTTGACTTTGTCGCTCCACTGGATATCTTCGTTGAAGATGTGGGAATGCAGTAAATGCGCTCTATTTATTATATCCTTACTCATTTCGGTCGGACCAGCGACTGAGCGCTTTCGCGTCATACACCTAATGTCAAATTACAAGCTATTTGAGCTGTAGCCCTTGAAATAGATATTCTAAACTATACTATGTGATGTTCCCGACTATACACTTTCTCATTCATAATATTAGTGGGGATAAGAGTAATCAAGTGTATATTTTGGGATAAAATTTAAGTTTTGAAAGCTTCCGTTAAATGTGTCTCAAATGGACAATTTTGATCGGCATGTTTTTTTATATTCGAACCATCACGAAGGCGTAAGGCCTAAACACCCATGGGCATCGTGTGGCTATAGGGTGATACAGGAGAAAGGGGGTGGCATCACACGGACTCTAGCGAAGGAACACGAGTGCATGCAACATGCACCTATTCTGTCCCCGCTTTAGAGATCCGCCAGGTGGTAGCTCTCCTTTCGACAGTCAGAGATCGTCTATCACCTACGGACCATCACAACATCCATAGCCTGGAGAAAAATTCGCTTGGTAAGGGACTGATTAGGAGACCCATAACGTCTACCACTACACCACCGCTGCTGCCTTTCATATTTGGTAATATTTTGCCCCTATAGTATATCGCTGTTTAATTTGTATTGCAATAACTCGAGATAATTAATCAGATTGCAATACCGTTACTCTATATCCTACTTGAAGTCAGTAGATTAAAAGATGTCAGGAGAAATCGACGCAAGGTGAAACGGTCTCTGCTGACATCTCTGTCAACAATATAAGACGTGAAGGAGCACTGGGCGGTTGTCTGAAAAGCTAGAAGCAGATGGTGCTAATTAGGATGGGGGTCACATCTGTCATATCAAGGTTATGAACAAGTAAGCATGTTAATTGCTGATCAGGTGCTTATGTCAATATTTTTTTTATACAGAAGCAGCTGCGGAGGCAGAAGCCTAAATGCCAGGGAGCCGCGGCTGCTATGAGGATCCCAAAGAAATGTTGTTAATCCGATTTTTCAACTGCTTAAGGTTCGTATATCTGGGAAAAGCTTGTTGAAGATTGTTTTACAATCTCGACACCCTCGGGACAAAGAAGCGGTCGTATCGGCCAGTTCTGGATATTCGAAGTTTGACACGGTTAGGATGGGAGGCCAAGGTCAAGTGGGTCTGTCTGGCAGGCACGTCGCGCAGCCGCTTGATGGAGAAGAACTTTGAGGAGCAAAGCCTATTGGTGTAGCAGTAGAAGAGAGCTAGATCGTCTACGGCCCGCCGGTATGAAAGGGTCCCCGGACTGTCTGTTAGAGGAGAGTCATTGATCAGTCGGACAGCTCTCCTCTGGACAGCATCGAGTATAAATAATGTAATCCGGGCGCAGCACCAGAAAACGTGTGAGCAATACTCGAGGCTAGGCCTTATATGGGCCTTTTATAGAGTGAAAAGGTCATGCGGAGAAAAGTAATTAATAAATAATAATAATAATAGACGTCTTTATTTATCCACAATTACATTGTAGTATAGCCAAATGTCAGACTTACATGGCGAAGTTTAGCATGCTGCTACTCTTACACTTAACCATATAGTCTCTAGCAGATGTTCAAAAGAATACACTATCCACAAACAGATTTGGTTCATTACATCTAAAGTAAAATTTAAAAAAAAAGAGAAAAAGGCATACTTTCCAAACCCAAATGCACCAAAAAATTATTAATCTGAATTAAAGATGGAATAAAAAAGAAATGAATGATTACGTAAATTATATGTTTGGATGGTTGAGTAATAATGTTTTAACTTTTTGTCGAAGAACAGGTAATGAAAATTCTTTATATACTTTAGGAAGGTCATTATAAATAATAGCAACATTGTAAGAAAAACTGCGTTTAAAAAGTGTAGACGTATGCAGGGGTATTATGATATTATTTTCTCTGAGAGTTCGACAGTGAACATCATTATTGAATGAAATTTTTTCCTTCAAGTAATAAGGTTTAGACGTGAGCAGCAATTTGTGAACAAAAACTGAATAGTGATACTTGACCATGTCATTAATTTTTAACAAGTTTAGAACGGGATATTTCGCTGATACATGATCAAATTTACGTAAGCCAAAAATGAATCGTATACAATTGTTTTGAATAACTTGAATAACGTTTTTAGTGAAATTGTCTAAACAAGTATAGTATACGTATACGATATTACAATAATTTAGTATAGATATGACCAATGCTTCACATAGTTTTTTACGCAACTTAAAATTTAGTAAATACCTGTTTGCTATAAGAGTGCGCAGCCGTAGGTAGGTTTTCTGAGATAGACTTTTAACATGTTCAATAAACCTTAATTTTGTATCAAAAACAACACCAATAATTTTTGCAGAATCAGAAAATTGCAAGAGTTGGTTATTTATCTGAATGTTCAAGAGCTGTGTTACATTGTACGTTTTTCTTTGTGCGCAAAATAATAACATTTTAGATTTTTGTGGATTAATAAGTAGATTGTGATTTAAAGAGTATTTAATTAGTTTATTAACTTCGTTTTGTAAAATTTAAGTAGTATTATTGACATTATCTGGGTTAAAATAACGAAGCAATTGCGTATCGTCTGCACATGACTGGACATGAGAATTATCAATACTTTTGCTTAAGTCGAACGTATATATGAGGAACAGAAGCGGCCCCAATGCAGAGCCCTAAGGTACGCCCGAGGGAATTATTGTCACTTGAGACATTTCTTGATTGAGAAAAACACACTGAGTTCTTTGATGAAGGTAACTGTCGAAAAATGAAAGTGATACACTGTCAAGACCTATGTATCTTAATTTAGCAAGAAATAATTTATGATTGATGCTGTCGAAGGCTTTCGAATAGTCTATAGAGATTAAGGCTAGCGCCATTTTCTTATCTAAGGCACTTAAAATATTGTCTTGCAGATTAAGTAGGGCAGATGTTGTACTATAATTGGAACTTTATAATTTTTTCTAACATTTTGGATAAAATTGGTAATAAACTGATCATTATACTCAGTGGGTTTCATTTTTTTAGAAATTGGAATAATTAGAGCTTGTTTCCATGTGTTTGTTTTTCCAAACAGTCGTTAAAGATGTGGACGATGTTATGGAGAATAACTGGCAGGCAAAGCTGGATCATTGACAGGGATATACCATCAATTCCCTTTGCATCAGATTTTAGGCTCCCTATTGCCTGTAATACGTCATTTGAACTAATCTTATTCAATGAAAAAATATATTCAGAGCTTAATTTATTTTTGAAATAGTTTTCGCAAACTAGTGAATCAACAGGTTTGTAGCTATAAACAGACATAAAATAATCATTAATTTTGGTCGGGTCATTAAAACTTGCCGGAAGGGTTGGTTTACTATGAAAATTTATATCAAGTTGTTTGAGAGACTTCCACAATTTTTTTGAATCATTTTCATTTGCCAAATTTTCGATATATGTCTTTTTGTCCCTCCTGATCATGTTAAGAGCACGGTTTCTAAGCGATTTTTTTTTTTTTTTTTTTATATCGAAACAGCCGCGCAGGCAGAAGCCTAAATGCCGGAACACCGCGGCTGCTATGATGATCCCAAAGAAATTTTGTTAATACGATTTTTGAACTGCCTAAGGTTAGTAGAACTGGGAAAAGCTTCCTTCCGTAGTTTGTTCCACAATCTAGACACCCTCGGGACAAAGGAGCGGTCGTATCGGCCAGTTCTGGATGTACGAAGTTTGACACGGTTAGGATGGGACGCCGAAGTCAGGCGGGTCTGTCTGGCAGGC